CTATGCCCTTAGTGTTGTGTTTTTATAATTTTATTGGACCTAAAAAAATCTACATGACATGTCCTCGAGTTTCATTCATTTGGTCATACAAATGGGTTAACGTGTTGATGACCCGCTATCTTAAGGTTCTTAACGAATTGTGTTGGCGTGCAATCAGCATCATAAATTCTTTTCTTAGAATAATAAATTAAAGTCATGCTTCAAGTTTATTTTCCTGATGATAACGGAAGTATCGGATTTTTTTTAAAAGGCTATCGACCTTTTTCTTTATTACTTCTATAGACGGTGTTTCTTAAAAAAAATAACATTTAAATTTCGTAATTATAAGCATGCAGAAGTACAATGTCTTAAAATGAACTATTTAATTTTTGGTTTTTATTACAGATAGTCTTTGACATTTTAAGAGTCATCGTCTTGGTCCTCCACACATGAATGTGGTCCTTGTTGTCCAATCTGTTATTATTGCTGTAAAAGTTCATCGTGTGCATAGCATGTACTCTTCTCAAGCGGCATTATTGTCAAACCAATGCTCCCTTTGGCTCTTCTACTGGTTTTGACTGTGTTTCCACTTACACCCCCGCAACTTACATTTTTTATAAGAAACAGTCAATGATTTACTACTACTGCATTATACTATCGGAACATGAATCAAATTTACACAGCAAGCAATATTCAGTGTGTTTACTTATTATTAACCTCAGGATAATTTCTATACATGTATGTGTTTCCTACTCAATAATCAAGCTAACAAGAGAAATTTTTTAAAAACATATAAACGTTCTGGAAAGAAATGCAAATGTAGTGTACATGTACTCCAGTTGCCAAAGATAAGGATCATGCTAAAGTATGTGGATGCTGGGAAAAAAAATTGTACCGTTGTTTAGAACACGCAAAACAATCTCTTTCGTTAATGACCAACCATAACAGTGAAAGAGATTGGGTAGTAGTGGGCTTCAAGCAAACCAACATAGATGCATGCAGAATTGCATAGCCCTAGGCAAATACCGGTAATTTGGTTTGCATAACCAATGTCTGAGTTATCGATTGAATGTGCTTTATGAAAACTTCTACTAGACCGTTTTTGGTATGAACATGGGGTGCAAGATGCTCAACTTCAATCCCAATTGACATGTAATCATCATCAGAGGAATGTGACGTAAACTTTCTAGCATAATCTAGTCAAATTTACTAAATTGGATAATAAGGGTTGTGAGCCCTAAGCTTAATGATTTGAGCTAAGAGTTTCGCAAAAACAGCGTTGCATGTGGACATTAAGCGAACATATGACCTACGTGTCGATGCATCAACTAACACCATGAAGTATCTAAATGGTCCACATGTTGGTTGGATAGATCCAGAAATATCCCCTTGAATCCTCTAAAGAAACTTTGGAGGATTCTGATTAATCTTTGTAGATAAAGGTTGAGTGTTCAACTTCCCCAAGTAGCATGCTTTGCAAGTCGAGTATCCGGTATAAGAGGTTATATGATGCCCATGTGAAGATTTGAGGATATGGCGCATCATATCCCGTTTAGGATGTCTCATCCAGTCATGCCAAGACAGGAAAGTGGTTTGGAACCCGGGCTCAGGGTCGTCCACGTGATAGGTCTCTATGGCTCGAATGGTTCTGATGTACAACCCACTCGAGAGACATTCCAACTTCTTGTGAATACACTTCTGGCCATATTCGTAAGAAATGATCAGAATCATTTTCTTCAGTGGTTTCAATATAATATTTATTATCTCAGATATCTCTAAAACTCAGCAACATTCTTCCAGAACGAGGAAAATAGAGGTTCGTTTTAATGGTTAATTCAATACCATTAGACAACATTATACGGGCCTTTCTATAATGTTCCATCAAGTTAGATGAACTTGAAAGGGTTGTCAAAAATGCATTTTTAGGTACGAAGTTAGTAAGATAGTGTTGCTCACGCAAGATAGTGTGTGTGGTAGCACTATCAGTCAGACAACTAACTTCCCCACTAGTCAGACCTAGAAATAAATTAATTGAATCGATCACATGCATATATATAATTTTATTCATTCAATTAATCAATTGAGAAACAATATCCATGACATAATTATCCATAATTCAAAACAAACCAAACCAAACAAGTTATTCCATATTGGGTTCAACAACTAGGGGTAAAAACCACCCGAACATGTCTAGAAAAATAAACTTCATTCTTCCATAGGAGTGGATGCCACCTTGTGGTAGTATCATCGGGATGTTCCACATGTGCAAGGTTAGACTCATGACAGGAATGATACTTGGCAACAGCCTTAGGGGTAGCTCGATATATGAGTGACCAATGGTCTATTGATCCACAACAGTACCACATGTCCAATGTAATTGAATTTGATTAAATGGTAGCTTTTCCCTTGTTCTTGAAGCTAGGGGCCTCCCTTGGCAAGGCCTTTGCTTCGTTGACCTTGGGCCCATGGCTGGAGTTGCCGCCCATTACCACGGCTATTATGGTTCTTCTGTTGTTTGTGGTTGCTAGAATTAGTCGCATGCGCTTCAAGCGTAGCATTCGAGCCAATGGGTTGAGCTTGAAGATTTTTTGTCAAAAGTTGATTTTACTTTTCAGCGAGAAGTAAAACAAAGATCAAATTTGAAAATTTGGTGCCCTATATTGTTGTTGTAGGACAATATTAGTGGCAGTGAAGGTCGAATAGGTCTTCTCTAGATATGCATGCAACTCTCATCCAAGGAAAATTTGAACTACATTATTGCTAGCCTATTGTGAGGCTTAGCACACTCCCCCACCTCCTTAGTGTAGGTAATATTGTTTGTTGAAAAAAGAAAAAGAAAAAAAAAGACCTCTCACTTACAAGTGGAGAAAAATACCTCTAAATCGTAATAATAACTAACACCACAAATTTAGTTTAAAATAATATTTGAATTTAAGTACTCCACATATAGATATATATATATATATATATATATATATATATATATCCAAGTGGTTATATTTGTATGGTTTTTCGGAACCTATTTTATTTATGACATTCTTGAATTTAGGTCTCGTTTCATATAAAGGATTGGATTAAAGCGGACTAAACATGAATGAAATTTCTCCTTTCATCCTTCCATTTTAGGAATGATTGTAGTGAATAATTGCTAGTTTAGTATTGCTGTGCTTTAAAAAAAAAAAAAGGGAAAAAAAAAAACTATTTCTACTGTGATATGAGAATAAACAGCTGTAAAATAAAATTGTTGAGTGTTTGGTTTTTTTTTTTTTTTTTTTTTGTAAAATTGTTTATAAAAAAAAAAATCTTCAGTGTTTGGTAAACTTTTATATAAAATTGTTGTGAATAGTTTCATATAAAGGATTGGATTAAAGCGGACTAAACATGAATGAAATTTCTCCTTTCATCCTTCCATTTTAGGAATGATTGTAGTGAATAATTGCTAGTTTAGTATTGCTGTGCTTTAAAAAAAAAGGGAAAAAAAAAAAACTATTTCTACTGTGATATGAGAATAAACAGCTGTAAAATAAAATTGTTGAGTGTTTGGTTTTTTTTTTTTTTTTTTTTTGTAAAATTGTTTATAAAAAAAAATCTTCAGTGTTTGGTAAACTTTTATATAAAATTGTTGTGAATATGCTAAATGACTAAAAAACGATATGGTATTTAATGCGATATAATAATTGTCAAAGAGAATAATGTAAGGGTAAAGATTGTAATTTTGTAAAAGTTGGGGGTATTTGCCATTTGAAAATTTCATTAAACTGGCACTGATCACTATGTTCAAAAAAAAAAAGTTTTTTTATAAGCATGGTAAGCTCTACTTCTACTTTTCTATTATTATTGACATCAGTTTTTTATTTTTATTTTATTTTATTTTTTGTTTTACCAAACACATTTGATGTTCCAAATATTTTAACATGTTGCTTTTTTTTTTTTTTTAAAAGCACCACAATCCCAAACTAGCCTTAAGTTTTCTTATTGATTCCTACTTCTAAGTTGGCCACAATGTTTTCAATTTTTCTTTCAATATACCTTGAAATGTTTTATGCATTTCAATCCAATCCTCAGCACCAAACGCTTCTTAGTCTTTACATATCCTGCCTACGTATTTAGCAAGGGGATGGAGAATAGGATGCTTAACCCCATCCATATATGCTAAGCTTAGAGTTTAAATGTCCAAGCGTCAATGGCTATACCCCAATTACCCAGTGGCCAAACTCTTGTCATTTAATGACAGTTTAAGGCCAAACATTTAACATTTAAGAAGAAAAGAAAATTGATTGGATTTAAATACAAAAGGCAAATGTTGGAAATCCGATTCAAACAAAATGCTGCTCGAATTATAACAGAAGTTTGGTTGGTGTTGTGTGCGGTGGATTCAACTTGCTAGGCTCATGTTTTTGTTCCTTCTATTTTTAGAATTTAATACAAAAACAAAAGAATAAAATAGTTAAAGATGGCCTTATAAGTCATTTTGCAAAAGGTTAGAGTTGTCATTAAAAGTATCATTAAAAAAGGAGTGGAGAAATAATGTTAATGGGTGGGTATATCATCCCCCTAAATAATAAAAACAATTAAAAACTCGTTCATTTTTCTATCTTTTCTAGTGTTTTTCCAAACACTTGAACAAGATTGCTAGATTATACAGCTTCAGTTTGGGGATTTGAAACTCGAAATGGTGACTGGTAACGGATAAAAAATTCCTGAGGCTACCACTAAAACGAATGCAAGATTGCCAGACTCACCCATTTTTAACTAAATTTTTAAACATATATATATATATATATATATATTTTTTGGTTGAACAATTTAGGAATAAGGAATACGATTTATAAAGCATGCCAAAAATTTTGAGCCTCCCCTACCACAAAAGCAATGTTATTAGGCCAGTTGGGTAGATACTACCCCAATTGGAGCCTATGAATTACCAATTGCCTATTGACCAAAATTATTAACACAAAACCCATCATTTCTTCCCCTATAAAATGATGCCCTTCCCATTTTGTAACACAAGAAGAGCAGAGATGACTTACTTAAAGTTGTTTGTGCTATTTCTTGTAGTGGTTATTCTTATCACAACTTCATCCAATGCCCAATACCATGAGGATGACAAGCTACAAGTCACTCCGATAAGACACGAAATTTACAAGCCATCAACGTTTATACCACCATTTTACAAGCCGCCATTTCTTCCTCCTATTGTACTGAGAGGACCACCACCTCCACGTCCGAAGAATCCGCCACCACACCCACCATTTTACAAGCCACCATTTCTTCCTCCTATTGTACTAAGAGGACCACCACCTCCACCTCCAAAGAATCCGCCACCACCCCCACCATTTTACAAGCCACCATTTCTTCCTCCTCTTATTGTACTGAGAGGACCACCACCTCCACCTCCGAAGAATCCGCCACCACCCCCACCATTTTACAAGCCACCATTTCTTCCTCCTCCTATTGTACTGAGAGGACCACCACCTCCACCTCCGAAGAATCCACCACCAGCCCCACCTCACAAAAATCCGCCACCACAGCCACCTCAGAAAAATCCTCCACCACCACCCCCACCTCCTAAGAATCCGCCACCACCCCCACCTCAGAAAAATCCTCCACCACCACCCCCACCTCAAAAGAATCCGCCACCTCAAAAAAATCCTCCACCACCACCACCTCAAAAAAATCCTCCACCACCACCCCCACCTCAAAAGAATCTGCCACCACTGCCACCTCAGAAAAATCCTCCACCACCGCCACCTCAAAAAAATCCACAGCCACCTCAGAAAAATCCTCCACCACCACCACCTTAAAAAAATCCACTGCCACCACCACCACCTCAAAAAAATCAACCACCAACACCAACACCAACACCAACACTAGCTCCAGCTCCAACGCCAACACCAACACCAACACCAACGCCAACGTCAATGCCAACACTAACACCAACACTGACACCAATACCAACACCAACACCAACTCGAACACCAGTGCCAACGCCAACCCCAATGCCAACTCCAACGCCAACACCAACACCAACAACAACACCAACACCAACTCGAACACCAGTGCCAGCGCCAATACCAACGCCAACATCAACAACGCCAACGCCGACACCAACGTCAACATCAACACCAATGCTAACACCAACATCAACGCCAACACCAACACCAACACCAACACCAACACCAACAACAACAACACAAACATCAACGCCAACACCAACACCAACACAAACACCAACACCAACACCAATGCCAATGCCAACGCCAACACCAACACAAACACCAACCCCAACACCAATGTCAATGCCAACGCCAACACCAACGCCAAAGCCAACGCCAACGCCAACGTCAACACCAACGCTAACCCCAACACCAACACTAACACCAACATCAACACCAATTACAACACCAGTGCCAACACCAACACCAACGCCAACACCAACATCAACGCCAACACTAAAACAAACATCAAGGCCAGCATCAATACCAACACCAACACCAACGCCAACACCAATGTCAATGCCAACACCAACACCAACACAAACACAAACCCCAACCCCAAGACCAGCACCAACGCCAACACCAACACCAACACCAACACCAACACCAACTCGACCACCAATGTTAGCGCCAACACCAACGCCAACGCCAATGCCAACACCAACATCAACACCAACGCCAACACCAACACCAACGCTAACATCAACGCCAACACCAACATTAACGTCAACGCCAACATCAACGCCAATGTCAACGTTAACCCCAACGCCAATGCCAACACCAATGCCAACGTTAACCCCAACGCCAATGCCAACGCCAACGCCAACATCAATGTCAACGCTAACACCAACACAAACACCAACGCCAACACCAACGCCAACATCAACGCCAACACCAACGCCAACATCAACGCCAACATCAACGCCAACATCAATGCCAACATCAACACGAACACCAGCGCCAACACCAATGTTAACCCCAACGTCAACCCCAACGCCAATGTCAACGTCAACACCAACGCCAACGCAGACACCAACACCAATGCCAACATCAACGCCAACACCAACGCCAACACCAACGCCATCGCCAATGCCAACACCAACACTAACGCCAACACCAACACCAACACTAACACCAACATCAACACCAATTGGAACACCAGTGCCAACGCCAACACCAACGCCAACGCCAACACCAACATTAACGCCAATGCTAACACCAACACCAGTGCCAGCACCAATACCAACACCAACACCAGCGCCAACACCAATGTCAACGCCAACACCAACACCAACACAAACACAAACACCAACGCCAACACCAACACCAACTCGAACACCAGTGTCAACACCAACGTCAGCGCTAACACTAACGCTAACGCCAACACCAACACCAACACTAACACCAACATCAACACCAACACTAACACCAACATCAACACCAATTGGAACACCAGTGCCAGCATCAACACCAACGCTAATGCCAACGCCAACACCAACACCAACACTAACACTAATATCAACACCAATTGGAACACCAGTGCAAGCGCCAACGCCAACGCCAACACCAACATCAACACCAACGCTAACACCAACACTAGCACCAGCACCAAGATCAACACCAACACCAATGTCAACGCCAGCACCAACACCAACACCAACACAAACACCAACCCCAACACTAACACTAACACCAACACCAACACCAACCCCAACACCAACGCTAACACCAACACCAACTCACACACCAGTGCCAGCGCCAACACCAACATCAACGTTAACGCCAACACCAACATCAATGCCAACACCAACGCTAACGCCAACGCCAACGCCAACATCAACGCCAACACCAATGCCAACATTAACCACAACGTCAATGCCAACGCCAACATCAATGTCAATGCCAACACCAACACAAACACAAACACCAACCCCAACACCAATACCAACACCAACACCAACACCAACACCAACGCCAACACCAACGCTAACATAAACACCCACACCAACGCCAACATCAACGCCAACACCAACGCCAACACCAGGGCCAACGCCAACGTTAACCCCAACACCAACGCCAACGCCAACACGAGCGCCAACGCCAACGCCAATGCCAACGCTAACACAAACACCCACACCAACGCCAACATCAACGCCAACACCAACGCCAACATCAATGCCAACACCAGGGCCAACGCCAACGTTAACCCCAACACCAACGCCAACGCCAACACGAGCGCCAACACCAACGCCAATGCCAACACCAACACCAATGTCAACACCAACGCCAACACCAACGCCAACATCAACGCCAACACTAACGCCAACATCAACGCCAACATCAACGCCAACACCAACGCCAACTCTAACATTAACCCTAACGCCAACACCAACGCCAACACGAGCGCCAACGCCAACGTCAATGCCAACACCAACACCAACGTTAACGCCAACATCAACACCAACGTTAACGCCACCAACACTAACACCAACATCAACACCAATTGGAACACCAGTGCCAGCGCCAACACCAATGCCAACGCCAACACCAACATCAACGTCAACGCTAACACCAACACCAGCGCCAGCACCAATACCAACACCAACGCCAACACCAATGTCAACGTCACACCAACACAAACATAAATGCCAACGCCAACACCAACACCAACACCAACTCGAACACCAGTGTCAACGCCAATGTCAGCGCTAACACTAACGCTAACGCCAACACCAACACCAACATCAGCACTAATTGGAACACCAGTGTCAGCGCCAACACCAACGCTAACGCCAACACCAACACTAATACCAACACTAACACCAACAACAACGCCAATTGGAACACCAGTGCAAGCGCCAACGCCAACACCAACATCAACACCAACGCTAACACCAACACCAGCGCCAGCACCAATACCAACACTAACACCAACACCAACACCAATGTCAATGCCAACACCAACACCAGCACAAACACAAACACCTACACCAACACCAACACCAACGCCAACACCAACACCAACACCAACACCAACACTAACGCCAACACCAACACCAACACCAACGCTAACACTAACTCGAACACCAGTGCCAGTGCCAACACCAACGTCAATGCCAACGCCAACACTAACATCAACGCCAACATCAACGCTAATGCCAACACCAACACCAACGCCAATATCAACGGCAACACCAACACCAACATCAACGCCAACATCAACGCCAACACCAACACCAACACCAATGACAATGCCAACGTTAACCCCAAAGCCAACGCCAACGTCAACGCCAACACCAACACCAACACAAACACAAACACAAACACCAACCCCAACACCAACACCAACACTAACACCAACATCAACGCCAACACCAATGCCAACACCAACACCAACACCAACACCAACGCCAACATCAACGCCAACACCAACGCCAACACCAACGCCAACATCAACGCCAACATCAACGCCAACACCAACACCAACGCCAACATCAACGCCAACATCAACGCCAACGCCAACATCAACGCCAACACTAGAGCCAATGCCAACGTTAACCCTAACGCCAATGTCAATGCCAACGCCAACACAAGCGCCAACGTCAACGCCAACGTCAACGCCAACACCACCGCCAACGCCAACACCAACACCAAGACCAATCCCAACACCAATGCCAACGCCAACACCAACTCTAACACCAATGTCAACTCCAACACCAACACCAACACCAACACAAACACAAACACTAACCCCAACATCAACACCAACACTAATGCCAACGCCAACACCAACACCAATGTCAACGCCAACGCCAACCCCATCACCAACACCAGCACCAATACTAGGTCAAAGCAACCCCCCTCCAGCACCTTTACTGAGTCAAAACAATGCACCACGAGCACCACCAACTGAGAACAATCCACCACCAACACCTACACCTTTTCTAGCACCTTCAACAGGTCAAATCAATCATCCGCAAGCATCACCTCAACATAATTCACCACTAGCACCATCACCAGGTAAAAGCAATCATCCGCCTGCACCATCGCCTCTGAATAATCCACCATTAATATCATCACCTCAAAATAATCCACCACTAGCCCCACCACCAGGACAAAACAATCCTCCACAAGCACCACCATCTCAGAGCAATCCATCATTAGCCCCATCACTAGGACGAAATAATCCTTCACGAGCACCACCACCTTTGAACAATCTACCATCATCACCATCACCAAGTCAAAGCAACCCTGCTCCAGCACCTTTGCCAGGTCGAAACAATCCTCAACGAGCACCACCACCTCAGAATAATCCACCACCACCATCATCACCAAGTCGAAACAATCCACCGCCACCACTTTTACCTGGTCAAAATAGTCATCCACCACCACCATCACTTGGTTGGAACAATCCCCCACAAGTTCCACTTCCTCAGAACATTCATCCACCACCACCTCCACCAAATCTGAATAATCCTCCACCACCACCATTAGTAAGCCAAAACAATCCTCCCCCACCACCATCCCCAGGTCGAAACAATCTTCCTCCACCACCACCACCATCACCAAGTCGGAACAATCCACCGCCACTGCCTTTACCTGGTCAAAATAATCCTCCTCTACCACCATCACTTGGTTGGAACAATCCCCCACAAGTTCCACTACCTCATAACATTCATCCACCACCACCTCCACCAAATTTGAATAATCCTCCACCACCACCTTTAGTAAGTCGATACAATCCTCCCCCACCACCATTACCAGGTCGAAACAATCTTCCTCCACCGCCACCACCATCACCAAGTCGAAACAATCCACCGCCACCGCTTTAACCTGGTCAAAATAGTCCTCCACCACCACCATCACTTGGTTGGAACAATCCCCCACAAGTTCCACTACCTCAGAACATCCATCCACCACCACCTCCACCAAATCTGAATAATCATCCACCACCACCTTTAGTAAGTCGAAACAATCCTCCCCCACCACCATCCCCAGGTCGAAACAATCTTCCCCCACAGCCACCACCATCACCAAGTTGGAACAATCCACCGCCACCGCCTTTACCTGGTCAAAATAGTCCTCCACCACCACCATCACTTGGTTGGAACAATCCCCCACAAGTTCTACTACCTCAGAACATTCATCCACCACCACCTCCACCAAATTTGAATAATCCTCCACCACCACCTTTAGTAAGTCGATACAATCCTCCCCCACCACCATCCCCAGGTCGAAACAATCTTCCTCCACCGCCACCACCATCACCAAGTCGGAACAATCCACCGCCACCGCCTTTACCTGGTCAAAATAGTCCTCCACCACCACCATCACTTGGTTGGAACAATCCCCCACAAGTTCCACTACCTCAGAACATCCATCCACCACCACCTCCACCAAATCTGAATAATCCTCCACCACCACCTTTAGTAAGTCGAAACAATCCTCCCCCACCACCATCCCCAGGTCGAAACAATCTTCCCCCACCGCCACCACCATCACCAAGTCGGAACAATCCACCACCACCGCCTTCACCTGGTCAAAATAGTCCTCCACCACCACCATCAGTTGGTTGGAACAATCCCCCACAAGTTCCACTACCTCAGAACATCCATCCACCACCACCTCCACCAAATCTGAATAATCCTCCATCACCACCTTTAGTAAGTTGAAACAATCCTCCCCCACCACCATCCCCAGGTCGAAACAATCTTCCTCCACCACCACCACCAAGTTTGAACAATTTGCGACAACCCCCACCAATTATCCGTCAAAATTGAGTCAATATGAGCTAGATAATTCCTTGAAATAAGAGTTGTCGAAACTTAGTTGTCACCAGCTTCTAATATGATCGATTACCTATACAATACTATATATTATATAAATATAGTAATATATTACTGCTCTTGTAACTGCTTTAATGAAATTTGGTTTCCTCTTGCATCCTTTATTGCAATATAAATTACCAACTATAATGAAGTAACATTTTGGTTAGTTATATCATTTGCCCACTTTGTCATGAGAATAGATGACATACATTCCTTATAATTAAAAGATGCAGAATACGTGAAAACTACCACAATTGTTGTTACAAAATCTCTTCGAAAAAAGTGCATGATGTGAAGTTTCTGATAGTCCAACATCAACAAGAATATATCACGCTAGTACAATTCAAATCATGAATGGAGTACAATTCAAAAAACTATATATATCGCTGCCAGTTATCACATTAGAAAAAAAATTAGACGAGGAATAGGAACCCACAGCTCACTTAAAACACCACATATCCAAATCGAATCTGCACATCCATAAACAAGGGCACGATACTTTGCTTCAGTACTTAACCAAGAGGCTGTTCGTTGTTTCTTATAACACCATGTGATCAAGTTAGAACCCAGGACGATACAAAAACCTGTGACAAAATGACGGGTGTCCGAACAAGCTGTCCAATCTGCGTTAGAGTAAACTGAAGGAGAAGAAGAAGCATCACAACATCATGTTGGCAAACCATGACCATAAGTACGTTTTAAGTAACACAAAATATGTTTGACTGCCTCCAAATGCAAAGAAGTAGGACGACCCATGATTTGAGCAACGTTATGAACGGCAAAGGAGACGTCGGGGCATGTCATGGTGAGATGTTGAAGACCTCCACCACAATAGCGATAGAAACATGGACCAGCCAACTCAGTACCACATGTACGTGTCAAAACAATCAAGCATGTCTCCCTTCTTGTCTGGATGAGATGAATATCCGAAGAAAATAGCAGCTTGCCCAAGTCTTTTAAATCAAATTCAACACCTAATTTTTTTTTTTTTTTAATTAGAAAGAAAAGCAGAGGGATCACTACCCATAACAACGAACACAGAATTATCAGCCGGGCTTTGAAGGAAACCAAAATTGATAATAAAAGAACTAAACCTCTGAAACTAGGCACGAGAGGCCTGCTTTAGGCCATAAAGGGCCTTATGTGCATGCAGTTAGAGAATGTGCATGCAGTTAAAAATCAGAGCATCTAACGTAAGAACAAATAATTTATAAATTATGAATATTATTAACAGGAAAACAATAAGAATGCAGAGACGGCTACAAACTAAGGCCTACATCTTGACTGACTTAATTCTCATACTAAACTACAAGCTACGTTTATAGAATGCAGAATCTAAAGAATCCTAAACAGATAGGTGTGACCCAAACCTAGACAATCAAATAATAACTAATATTCCAACACCCTGTGTCAAATTCATGGCGGTACACGACATGAGTTGCCAACAAGTAGATGCAGATGCAAGCTCTATTAGGCCGATAAGGCAAGACAATTCAAGAAAGCTTTCAAGCAAAATAGCAATTATAGCGAACTAGACTAGACTAGACAGGACTGGATTACACTATACTAGCGAACTGGATTGGACTAGTTGGCCAATTGATTCTAGCTGGCAAACTAATTTAGATTCAAACATGCTGATGTTGAGGGTGGTAGGATTTTTACCACTTGCAAAAGTAAGAATTAAAACACATAAAAATACTTACAAGAAAACAAGGTTATTAAAGTCGCTCTTTACAGGATCAATATGAAGAATTTGTATTTGAAACCAATCCTTAGTTAAGTATACAACATAAGTTTTGGAAAAGATTTGAAATTGTGAATTAAAGTAAAAGAATAGAAACTAAAATAATTAAATTTGACTAATGAAAATCGGCAATGAGAGATAAAATAAAATAAAAGTTTTGGAGAGAAATCAAATGTGAAAAGCACTAGGGTTTAGCCATCATCATTAACAATCCTATGCAGTTCTACGAATTACTTATGAGTTAAAACATGTAACTTTAAAGGTTAAGTTTTCTTAATGCATATTCTCCTCGTGATGTTCAAGTAATAACGTACACCTAACATGTAATCCGTCAGTGATGTTTAGATCAAAACATAAATATGTAAGACTTAATAAGCTTTATGAATTAGATATGAACAATTAGTCTTAAAGTTTTAAGAACTTTGCAGAGAGCATTACATGCCTAGGATGCCTACCGAATCAGCTTCCATTACCCTTCCAAACTGCAGAGCTAATGCCTCGATAAAGCGCCTTCTAACATCAACCAAGGAGACTGCCTCCAAAACCTTAATAACAAGGCAAAATAGTCATTCGATTTCCCTATTCATTATAGCACGATGCATCACACTTAGGGTACATTTGTTGCATCGGACTATCTCGGACTGGATTAACTTCTGGAACTAAATTGGACTGGCTTAGAATAGATTAAGCTGAACTAACTTAATGAAGCATTTGGTGCTGTGTCGAACTAAGAAATGGGATAACGAAAACAGTGAAAAATAGACCGTATACAATCATAACAACAAAATTTCATACAACATCATATTCTAACTAACCTACAATCAAATCCTAAATTGAAAAATACGCAGGAGGAGAATTTGCAAATTAACTCATAATCCACTCCAAAAGTTTGTTTTCTATATTTAAAAAAAAAAAAAAAAAAAAACCAAAGATTTACTTGCCCAATTCAAATCAAACCAAACAATAAATCCACACCGCCAATAAGTTTTTTTTTTTTTTTTTGTTGGGTGGGGCCCCGGGGGGGGAGGGGGCTGTGGGTCGGGGTGTGAATGGAAAGAAGTGAATCAGTCTATGAGACCTCTGCATAATTGCAATCCTCCATCTCCGAATCAAACCTCCAATCGCAAGCCCACCATCGTCTCCTCATCCAACCTCTCTTCTCTGATGACCCACCCTCATCCGCTCCTCCAATCGACATGAATGGCCATGCTGCCAACAGTGAAGAGCTTTCTACGACAGACTCGGGTTCGCTCTCGTCCTTTATGAAGTTGAAGAAGTGCAAAGCCGAAAACGAGTACATCTCGTTTTCAGTGATGTAGGAGAACTGGCCGAGGACGCGAACGGTCTTAGCAATCCCATGCTTATTGGAAGGTCTCGCTAAGACCTTCTAACGAAGGACTTAGTTGGGACGAGTTGGCACTAATCTCATTAACTCTATTCCTACGTGTAACAAACACGGTATTGGACTAATATCTAGTCCAGTCCAGTCCAAAAAGAATTAGTGAAGGCAAACAAACACACCCTTAATTTTCTATTCTTACAAGAAACAGTAACGGTTGTCACTTAAACTTTAGTGGAAAACTTAACGTTTCTGATCAGAAACGTTAATTCTACGTATAAGACAAAATACAACTCCTAAATAGCAATGTTAGTGACAACCAGTACAAATTTTTTTGATACTATTTATTTTATATCTAAAGGAATGAAGGCTTGAGCGGCCACACATCCATATAAGTCAAACTTGATACGTATCACTTACAAGTGAAGACGAGACAGTAATAGTAATCGGTATAACCGCCATAAAAGTTAAGACAAAACTATGTTTTCCATTGTAATAGTAATCGGTATATGTAGGGGGGGCTTGACGCATCTAAATAGCTGACGGTAGTTTAACTTACACAAGAAGTCTCCCTCCCAAACGAATATAAAGAATTAGGGTGGCTGAAGTTGAAGCAGCTTCTTTTGAAGTAATAGGAAGAAAAACAACCGGAGTGGGGGTCAGAGTCGAAAAGAGAATTTCTCACTTCTTAATCAAAACGGTGCATGAGACTTTCATCTCGCACAGGTCCATATGACCTAAGCAACATTGTCATATCGATACTCAGTCATCGCCGTTGCCTCCATCATCCATGTCCATACCCCCGTCTCCATAATCGTTCTCCTCTCCCTCCGCCGGGTCGGCACCCCCAAAATTGTATGAACCTGCATAGTTATCCACCTCATCATTCTCAACCTCCTCCAATGAGAATTCTTTCTTGATAGACATGGTTTCCAGATTCTCATCACTGAAAAATGAAGCGTATGGCTGTGAGACCTGCATTACAAATACAGAAATCGCCAGAACACATCATACGATTGAATCAGAAGTTTGTGAATACATATAAATGATCAGTATTGGGCTGGAAAGAGATGATTGGGCTGGAAGGAGATGACAGATTTGATGTCTGAGAGAAACAAAAGTACAATAAAATGGAGAGAGATGTAGTAAATTCAATGTCTGAGAGAAACAAAAGAACAATAAAATGAAGAGAGATGTGGTAAAGTTCTTGACGTAGCGCTTGTTGCAGTTGATACTAGATGATGCATGGACCAATTTATTCCTCTAGCTTACTCACCACAAGTTACGGAAAATCGGCCTAAAACATAAAAGTTGTGGGACCTAGAAATTTAAGAACTTGGTGTGAAGTTTCAAATGCTCAACCTACGATTCTATATTAGCAACATGAACAGTCATATGCGGTTGGACAAAACCAAACACATGAATCAATCACAGCAGATGTGTGGCCAAATTGAGCACGAGGTGTGATGAATAGTGTGTGATTTCATGTTCTCAGGAAGAATATTCACCTTAAGCAAACGATCCCTCTTTTCAGCGCTTTCGATAAGGTTATTCCAATGCTCATCACGCTTCCTTAATGTTGATGCAGATCCCACTACCTGATTAAAAGAAGAGTTCAATATGTAAATGCATATTACATGAAGTAAGACAGTACTTGACACTTCATTCTTAACTTCGAACGAGAACAGACCAAGACAGAAGATTTTGCTCTAGTGATCGCAACATTCATTCGCCGAAAATCAGACAGAAACCCAATTTTTCCATGTTCGTTTGTCCTGACACATGAAAATATTGCAACATCCTTTTCACGTCCCTGAGAAAAACATTAAAAGATCATTTATTCAAACATTTCAATTTTCGCAAGTTGAATAATAGGAAAAAATTGTCTCTAAAAGTTCAGGGAGAAGTTATTCGCACTTCAAAACGGTCATTGTGCACCCGTATCTTATTAAACCATAAGAGAGAAATTGCACCTTGAGGAGTGCAGTGTCAGTAATAACCCCCAATGTTAAAATATTTGATGTTTCTGTTTAAAAAATACCCCAACAGTCACATCAGCTCCTCCCACCCCTTTTTCCTCCTCGTCATCATTTATATCATATTTTGTGGTATAATTCGATGAAAATTATGAGATATCGTGCACCTTGACAAATCTATGAAACATAAAATGAGATACTCCGACATCTAGACAGCTCTACATAACACGGTATTACATCAACCAATAAAACTGATCTTGAAAACTTCCAAAGTATTAAAAATAAAAACGTCTGATCACCTTTTGAATAGAAAACAAAGTCTATTAGCAATGAGAAGAATTCCAAAGGAATCCATAAAAGAATGAGTCACAATACCTGGCAACCATCAATAGTAGTAATATCCACGAATGTGTCAGACTCCACTCCGAAAGTACTTCTGAAACGTTCTTTCAAGAGAGTTACTTGTCCACGATACGGGGATATAATCGTGAACCGCTGACTTGATTTAAGCTCTGGATATTTATCCACTAAATTATGATACAAGAGCATGATAAAATCAACCTCAGCAACATTCACAACAGATCTACCACTTCCTTCGGGCTTGGATTCCTTCCCTTGATGCATGTCAAAAAAGCAGAAGGGTCCAAAGCATCGATAATCATGCCAAGAACGTTGTGTCTGCTCTATAATATTAGGACCATCCTCCAATGACTCCGAGTAAAACTCTGCAGAAGGAAAGCTCCTAATCTGCACAGGAATTTTTTATTTCATATATAAGGTTTTGAAATATCCACAGAAGAGCCATAATTCCACTTTTAAAAATGGACAAAAATCAAGTATCTAAATAAAAGACATAGAAATTTAAACCTACCAATTATGAAATATGAAATTGAGAGAGAGACACACAGAGAGTCTAATATCAAATAAAACTGAATACAGGATCACAGATATAAAATTAATTACTATGCTTCTTATTTGAGGCCCAGACGAAGCTCACATTGTTATGTTATATTCATTCAATAATAGTTATTACTTTCACATTCATTTTCAATGGAACATGTACTCTAACTTAGAGCTGGGCACGGTTCCAGCCCATTATGCTGCCGGTTGTCAGGCACGGTTCTGACTGGTTTGTTGCCAGAACTGACAACCGCACCAACAACCTCGGCAAGCATAATCCCGGGCACCGACCATGGGAAGTTGTCACCGAAGTTCAATTGATATTTACAACAAGAAAATACAGCTAGATGGAACAGAGGGTTGCCCGGCAGAAGTGATGGGAGATTTGTCCCCCGAGAAAAGTTACAGATCTCAATGATGAGAATCACTCATGAAGAGAAGAGACGTGGAGTATATTGCAGAGGAGAGATCGAAGGCGACATTGAGCTAATGCAACATCGAGATAGAAGGAAAGAGTGCACCACGTTTATCAGAAGCTAAGTTATTAGAATATGGGTCATCAACATAAAATATTTTTCAATAAACTTTGTTGGATGTTTCTGATCTAACCTCTGGATGCATTCGATACTGCATCTTCAGCATGGTCACTGGATAGCCAGCTCTCTGAAATCTCTCAAACAAACTCGTTCCATACCTTCAATCAGGAAAACAAGTTTGAGAGAATCAGAAATTTAACCAATAGCTCAATAAAATGACAGAGAAAATACATCACAATATCGTAGTTTACCCGAGTTTATTAGCAACGGTTGAAATTACAGTAGCTGGCAGTTGAACCGGGTCACCGATCTAAACGTTAAAAATTCAGAATTAAGAATGGCTTGAAGCCTAAATATTAAGCACAAGTATTGGTGCACAGTATAAAGTAAATTGATAACACAAGGTAAATTATGAGAAAGCCCTGTAATAGCATTATAATTTACCAGAAATACTTGTTTGCATCCATTTGTCAATGGAACAAGAGTCGCTGGTTCCACCTATAGCATACATAACATGAAGTCGATTAGACTTTATTCCAGTTGATGAAACTTTACAGAATCATACACAAGAATAAACACTCCCAAGAATTATCAAGAGCCATAAATTCCTAGTTTATATTTAGTATTGCATTGTCTTCAGCTGAAAACAAATAAATAAGACAAGTAGTGGTAACCTTATTTGACCAGCCATTCAATCAGGGTAGTTAATTTTTTTTCTTTTGCTACGATACCAGAACAGTTGCGTAAGACGATAAATTTGAAAGACATACAAAAAGGTTACACATAAAGCTTTCATGAGCCATACTAACGGTTTACTCTTGAACACTTCTGATTGTACTCTCGATTGTCGAAACATTTGTATATCTCCTCCTTACAGATAATGCCATCAAGCACAGCCATCACAGTTTTTCAATTACAGAAAAAAGAACCTCATTCATCCCAAAAATAAATATACACCATATAAACAGTGCTCAATGGCCAACACTTTGAAAACATGGCGTCTCCAAGTTTTAAGAGTTGAAAACTCAAACTTCAAATCAACTAAAAAACAAAGACTTTCAGAAATAAAGAGTGGAGGCTGCAGTCATGTCCACCATGGAGCAGCTGCCCATAAGGGCACTACTCAAGGGGCGAGCCCCTCAATTTATATACTCTAGATTGGTCATGGACATAGACTGCCTAAACATAAGTAATGAAAAACAAATAAGATTTATGAAATTAATAATCCTAATGGATGATGAATTCATTAATTAATATATACAGTTACACTTCCGCATTTAGAATATCTTCAAGAAAGGAAAGAGGGAAAGGAGTAAAGGTACAAACTAGGAACTATAAAAAGATAAAATAACGGATTACATGAACTTACAGCTTGTGCAGCTTCATCTATTATAACAACATCAAAATCTCGATTCCATTTGCTGAAAAGACTTGAACCACTAAAGCTAAGGGTAGAAAACACCTGCCATGTATACATACATTACAAGCGAAACTAAACGTCTAAATCTTGAGTTATAACAAAATGCAAAGTAGCATACAATTACAGACTCCTCCAAAATTTCTGCTCGAAACCTTTCAGCACCTCCATCTCTGCCTTTACCACCTCCTATACTTCCTTTCTTCCGTTCTACCTGCAACAAGAATCTTTCGGTCAACTTCAAGAAACACATATTACGTTAGACCTTTTCTTATCAAGTTCAAGCAACACAACACAACCAACTATAATGTAGGGAATTAACAAAAATTTGACATCAGCTTCTACTATGTTTTGTTATCAGAAGTCGTAAGTAAATTGACAAATATACAAATATATATATATGTGTGTGTGTGTGTGTGTGTGTGTGTGTATTATATATCTTTTTATCAATTGGCCTATGGGCTTTGAGTAAACTTCTTTCCAGAGTAATTGAAAAGACCATCAGGGGAACCCATCTAGTGGATGGAAAGCGGTATCGTCTGGAATCAAGGATCTAAATAGCAGGACAAATGCTGACTTCCCGAATAGTGCACAGAGAGGGCTTAGGCTTTCAAGGATAAGCAAGGGGTGGTTTCCAGAATAAATTTGATGGGAAGGTAGTTTACTTGTTAATCTGTTAAGAGTAAAGAAAAAACTAACTCTACGTACTATAAAAGAGCTTGGAGTGTGTAACTCCGTGCTTTGACAAATAATCATCCACTGGGCAGGTTTTGGGATTGATAAAGCCTCTACATAAGGCTCCGTCTGTTATTTTTTTGAATGAGCTTCACAACCGGGCAGGTTTTGGGACTCATAAAGCCCAGTGTTCCTCAACAGACTATTCACCATAATCTTAGGTTCTTCTAGAAAACTGGGGAACTGCCCCTAGTATCTGCAATTTAATTACCCTTTGATTTTAACCATTTTAGTAAATAAACCTTTAAAAGGCCTGTTAATGATGTATACTAAAATTAATCACCTTTTCGTTTGGTTTACCTTGTACACATTATGAGTAATATTTACATGTACTCTTAGTTCAAGGATGATAATCATTATAGAGTGAAACTCAATGTTGCCTCATTTACCGCCAAATACACACCAGTTCATTCATGGAGACTGCACGGACAGAATGATGTTCCTTAAGACCAATCCGCACAATTTTGGGGCTATACGAATGGTCACTTTCATCACGCACTCCTGAAATAAACCAGAATACATTTGAACGAACTATTACATCTGGATGGAAAATCAATAGAACTATGTTCATGTGAAAAGACCATATCAAATGCAGGAGGAACCAGACACCAAGTACCAATAATCAGAAATTCAACTTCTCAATATTGAGGCCATGCTGGGTGTCCCCCGATCCTAACCCATATATATGTGGACTATGCCCTTATATGATCAATTCACTATGCCCTTAGTGTTGTGTTTTTATAATTTTATTGGACCTAAAAAAATCCACATGACATGTCCTCGAGTTTCATTCATTTGGTCATACAAATGGGTTAACGTGTTGATGACCTGCTATCTTAAGGTTCTTAACGAATTGTGTTGGTGTGCAATCAGCATCATAAGCTCTTTTCTTAGAATAATAAATTAAAGTCATACTTCAAATTTATTTTCTTGATGATAACGGAAGTATCGGATTTTTTTAAAAGGCTATCGACCTTTTTCTTTATTACTTCCATAGACGGTGTTTCTTAAAAAAATAACATTTAAATTTCGTAATTATAAGCATGCAGAAGTACAATGTCTTAAAATGAACTATTTAATTTTTGGTTTTTATTACAAATAGTCTCTGACATTTTAAGAGTCATCGTGTTGGTCCTCCACACATCAATGTGGTCCTTGTTGTCCAATCTGTTATTATTGCTGTAAAAGTTCATCGTGTGCATAGCATGTACTCTTTTCAAGCACCATTATTGTCAAACCAATGCTCCCTTTGGCTCTTCTACTGGTTTTGACTGGGTTTCCACTAACACCCCCGCAACTTATAATTTTTATAAGAAACAGTCAATGATTTACTACTACTGCATTATACTATCGGAACATGAATCAAATTTACACAGCAAGCAACATTCATAGTGTTTACTTATTATTAACCTCAGTATAATTTCTATACATGTATGTGTTTCCTACTCAATAATCAAAGCTAACAAGAGAATTTTTTTAAAAACATATAAACGTTCTGGAAAGAAATGCAAATGTAGTGTACATGTACTCCAGTTGCCAAAGATAAGGATCATGCTAGATTATGTGGATGCTGGGAAAAAAAAAATTGTACCATTGTTTAGAACACGCAAAACAATCTCATCGAGTGCAGAGTTTGAAGGAGCACACACAAGGACACGTACACGATATTTACGACTAGAATTGACCACTTCCGGTTTCTGCAAATTGCATAGTTTTAGAAAACAGGAATATCTCAAATCACAGTAATCAAATGCAAAGATTTACTCTTACCAACTCATTTCCAGTGGTCGGAAAAACACCATCATCACCATCCACAGGCATTATTTGCTCCCTAGGATTTCTACCACTAAGCCATGGAGACGCTTTTATCCAATGTTTGAATCTGATTAATGTACAAAAGATTACTAGACATTGAAAACCAGGATGGAACATAACATAAGCATAGAAGAACTGTCTACCTGTTGTGATGTTGGAGTTAAACTCAAAATCTCTATTTACAAGATAGCTAAAACCATTGATTTGGATAAATTATTATTGTACACAATTATTCCACTTTAAACAGTGATGAATAATTAAATGCGTCGTGTCCAGGAGATTTAGAGGAAATTTGTTTGGCGTGGGGTAGCTCATAGCTGGCAAATTTAAGCACATTTGGTTAAATGAGGTACTGTTTGTCTTCCTAAGCATAGCAGAGGGATAGGAATTGAAAAGACTAAATTGGTGAATACTTTAATCTTGTAGGCCAAAAGCTCAGCAAGCCCAAGCAGAGATTTAGTATAATAGCAGGCCAAATAAGCGAATTAATACATCTGGAAAATATCAAGGTCTCACAGGATTCAGAGGTTCTAGAGCTTTAATGTACCTAGGAAAATTAACGAACGGTCAAAGGGTCGTCCTTGGAAAAAGTCAATGGGGTACTAACGTGTGGAAGGGTAAATATCACGGTAGCACCTCTGTATGAAGCATGCAAGTTGGTCATAACGAGGCAATGAACAGTATTTCAAGATTACCTATTTCTTGTGAGGGGTTCACAATTCTAAGGTTTGAGGCCCTATGTTTTTTCAACCAGAGCTATTCCTAGTTCCAACGAGAATGATCCCACTTAATCCTTCCCTTACTGAACTACATCATTGGGCATCTTTAAAATCTTAATAAACTAAGAAAAGAAGCAACATATAAAGAAACATTGACATTCGAGACAAAATCTACATTCCGTATATAAGCCAGACAAAAAGAACCGAGCAAGTAACCACATACTTCTCCTCTCTAGATAACTTTGGCCGGCGCTTTATGGTTGACTCACCCCTGCAAGAGAAGGAAGCTGCATATGAGCAAAAGAAAATTGATATGAAAAATGCAGATGTGTTATATTCAATTCTTACTTCTTACAATCACAAACGAGTCTAAATTTCTAGGGCAAGTTTCTTGGATTTTCTTACGTAGTTGACAAAATCATTACAAGAATTGGACAGACTGATATTTTAACCTGGAGTTCATTCTTGCTGGAGTAGCATGCAAAATGGCACTAAGAAGCCCAAGGATAGTTTGTGTCTTTCCTGTTCCTGGAGGACCCTAAATGGAAGCTTGAAATCAATATCCACCAAATATATCCATTAAGATGCATTTTTACAATTATTAAGAAAGATGAACTAGATAATGAGATGAAAAGAAGTAGCAAGCTTGTTTATGCATTTATAAGACCACAATGAGATGAAAAGAAGTAGCGAGCTTGTATATGCATCCATAATAATTTGACAAAAGGCAAAAAAAGAAATTAGAAGCAAGATTAAAAAGAATACCTGTATCAGGATAAATGGTTTACGCGATAGACCGGCCTGCAGCAAATAATTTTTTTCACTAATCCTCATACGAAATTCAAATAATAACAGATAAAAAGCTCCAAGCACAAATATGGACACTTGGACCTCCGACGACGGACTTCTACAAGACCACAATGCATGAGCAACGTCTATAAAACGTCAAAATAACCAAATTGCATATACAACTCCCAAACATGCGAGCATCATGCATAAGAAGTTAATACATAAATGTACACTTTTAGTATTAACTTACCTGTATGGCGTTTTGTTGAGATTCATTAAGATTTTCTTTTATATATTCCTGCAGAGGTCCAGAAATTTTCCAGGCCTGGCCTTCCGAATTGATATTTTTTTCAGCAGCTCCAAGAATTATATCCTTAAAAGGGAGAGAACCAATTGACCGTAGAGCTACATATTCACGAGCAATAGTTGATAAACTGCAAATCTGAAACATATATTGAATAAGTGAAAAAGAATTTTTGTCTTTATATTGAACAACTATGGTCTGGTATTTATAATAACTGGTCATGTTGGCAACTGAGCCAAAAACTCCCTATCACGAAGAAACTAAAAAGCATTAATTTTCTAAACTTGTAAGCTATTTATATAAAAGAATAGCTTAACCACTTAAAATGATCAAGGATTTTCTAACTGAACATTCAGACATAAAATTACCTATATACATCAATTAAAAACCATGTTATCACATTACTAGAGGTTAATTCCAATATTTTCCAATCAGTATACCCAACAGAAAAAAGATCTCCTCCCGAAGAAAAAAAATCATGATGCAACAAAATATATGTAAGTTCTTAAGAAACGCTTTACCTTTAGAGTGTAAAAGAACCGTTGTTCTGTAGAAGTCACCAAAGACTTCACATTTAACAGCCTAGGACATTCAACTGCATCTGTCTCCAAATTAGTGACTTCTCCACCCAAATACATTCTAATCCTAAAAGAACTTGCCTGGCGGCTTTCCACCAATGCAAAAGCATAGTCCCGTGGATGTTTGGTAGATGGAGGTTGGATATACTTCTCTTTACCATCCGTTACCCATTGAAGCTGCAATAACAAACCCCATCAAAAGATTAAGAAACCTACATTATATAAACTCATACAATCAAAAAGGTAAGATTAAAGTCCTGTCAGTGTAGCGGCGTGCTAAAGGTAAAATTTTTATTTTTCACGGGTATTTCTCAAAAGTTGGAGAATGAACTACCGAAAATGTAACACTAATGCTTAGCTATAGGATAAATGCAACAGAGACAAGCAAGATTTGAACTTGAACTAATTACCTTTTGTCCGGAAAGAAGCAAAAGATCATTCTGCGTTATTGATCCGCTCTCTTCCAAGTCACCCTGGTCGCGGGTAAGGGTTGCTAAGTGAAACCCGCCCACGTCAGTGTACTCGACAACCAAGTTTTCCCTGGGGTCTTCCACTGCATTGTTCCATACATACAAATAAATTAAAAGAGCGAGACTTAATTCACAAAACCAACATGAAATTGAGTAGTAAACAAATTTTCTCGGAAACCAAACAGAAAAGGGAAATGGAAAGTGAATGCAATACATTCATCCAAGTCTTTTTCCTGAAGAATCTGAGCTTTGACTTCTTCGAAAAGAAGCGGTTCATATGTAGAGATATAGTCATCCACATCTTTGTAGGTGTCTTTCACTTTTGCAATTCCTAAACCCTCATAAACTATTTCTTCCCCCTTACTCTTCTGCTGCTTGTCCTTCAGCTTCTGCTTCCCAAACAATGCAAATTCATCAATTTAATACACAACAAACACATATATTTATACATTTGTATAGATATAGAGAGAGAGAGAGAGAGAGTTACGTTTGCCTCTTTTCTGAGACGGAAATAGTCCCAACTGAGAATAATCCTGTAGAAGCGGGCAATAGCACCGTCTTCCTGAAGCTTGTCCTTGTCCACCGCCATAGAGAAGGAGGGAGAGAGAGACAGAGAGTGGTAGAGTGAGTAGAGGCGGCGGAGAGACGGCTGCTGATTGCTGAGAGTGACGGAGAGCAGACAGAAGAGTCGGAGAGAAAATGGAGGGAGGGAGATTCTGATGGGTTTTTCTGTGTCTGCCGCTCTTACGAGGGTTTTTAACTTTTATAATGCTTTTCTGTGTCCGATTTAATTAACCGAATTATGGGGTCAAAAACGGCAAGTAGTATGTATTCTGTATCGTCACTTGGTATATTTTTGCTCACCGGGATGGCGATATTGACCATCTTATTTATCATTGTTAAATTTAAATTTTAACACAGTGTGTAGTGGATAGATATAAATTTTGAAATTTAAATTCATACAAAAGTGATAAATAGCGTGTTGAATATTTCCACCATTCGAGAGTGGTAATCAAAAAAGCAGTCTTGTGACTATGAGGGAACAGACTTCAACTTCATAAAAATTCTGTTTTTTCTTGACGAATAGTGTTATTCACATACCTATTTTTACCTCTCGTACACTCTTTTTAATTTTTTTATCTTTGATCTTTTTCAATTCATTCGATTTAATGATCGGAAATCGAAAAAATGTGTGAGAAGTAAAAATATGTTTGTAGATCACACTACCCTTCTCAACCTGTTAACAAAAAACACTTACATGACATGAATAGACATTGCTGCAGTAGCTTTCAGTACAAAAATAAAATTATGTATAAATTTTTAATCGCTTGTCCTTATTTATCGGCACGAGACGTCACGATTTATGTTTTTTCCCTTAACTTTGGTGTAGTGTTACTCCCTTCTAGATTCGCACATCTTGTTCAACAAACTAACCATGGTCAGCCTATAATGAATTAACTATTAGTTTTAGTGATATCTCTCTTTGTAACTTTATAAAAGATCGAACCAAATCCCCTCCTATCATTTCATCTGGGTGATAGGGAAATTTTTCTTCTAGGGGGACCCGATTAGACGGACCTGCTTCCTCCCCCGGGAAGCAACCGAATGAGAATGATGCATAATTATTTTCGTATCGAAGGAGTAGCGGCCGATCTACCTCATGACTGGATAGATAAATGTTTGGATTTCTGTGATTATTTTTTAACAAGAGTTGCTGAATATCAAAAACTTATTAAACAAATCAAAGTTTAATTAAATTTATTTCAATTATAAAAGAGTCACTCTCTAATACTAATATTAGTCTTAGTCAAAAAAATTCAAAATTATGTTAAGTCATTGTCTCTTTTTACTTACAAGTTCTCCCTAAGTCCCGCACCGTTGAGGATGAAAAAATTAAACGCATATTGACGATAAAAAAGAACAAGGCTTTCTGCACTAGGGAAATGTTAGTGAACCTTAATGTATAACAAGAAAATTGTGCCACGTCTTAAACAAAAGAATAATGTTAGGTAGATTAAATTTGTCGACTAAAATTGCAAATAAAATGATGTGTCACCAATAAGAAATAAGCATGTTAACTATAAAAATGATGTAACACTCAAATCGATTTTTTAGAATGTCTCAATCGTTTTTTATTATTAAGCACTTTAAAGTTTTGGTATGCCAGTCCCACGAACTATTTACGACCGAACACTGGGTGAATCAGACTTCTCATTGCCACCGATCATCTCTCATTCATCATAAGGATCAAAAACACTCGTCGTTAATTATAAAAATATGTCAAGTATTACACAAAAACAATAAATTAATACAAGAGTTTTCATATGATTAAAATTAAAAACAAACTAATCACGTTTGATTCGATTTACACTTCATTAGTCGATGCAAAAAAAAGGGCTTGATAGTTTAGCGTGGCATGTTTAATTATCGGTTTTCAAGCCTTTGTGTGTAACAAAGATGAAATCGTTGCTGAGTGTTCAGCGTGGCAATTTCGTAATAATATGGAAAACTGTAACGGACCCAACGGCGTCGTTCTTCCTGTAGTGGGACTATGTGAGTGTCAGTTTAACCAAGAAAGTGTAATGACATAACTACTCTTTAAGTAAAAGCTGAACAGGGTAACGACGTAGGGCTATTATCGTCATTGGGACACATGGCAAATCCGTAATAAAACCACCAACCGGCAGGCACAAAAAAGTTGTTACAACAAGAATAAAATCCCGCCAAAAACCATTTCGTCCTCCCCTAACCGATTCCTTCGTTTCCAGATTGCTTGATTCTTGCTCACTAGACTCACCACCACCAATCAATGGCTTCCAGCGTCCGTGCAATCTCCCTCGCCGCCGTCCTCCTCCTTCTTGCTCTCATCGCCTCCCCGAGCGGCGTCGTTTCACTCACTACCCGCGAGTACGAGTCGATGCAGCGAGTGCTCCGCGGCCACGGCTACAACCTCGTCTGCAACGCAATGGCAACCTCCGACCTCCAGTGGCTCCTCCTCACCCTCCCCGCTAACGCCTCCTTCACCATCTTCGCCCCCACCGATGCCTCCCTCTTCGCCCTCGATATGACGCTCCCCGCTTCCTCATACACCGACACCCTCCGCTTCCACGTCGTCCCTCTCCGCCTCTCCCTCTTCAACCTCCGCTCCCTCGCCGCCGGCTCGGTCCTCCCCACTCTCCTCCCCTCCAGCGCTCTCCGCCTCGTCTCCACCCGCCCTCTCTCAGTCGGCGGAGTCGACGTTGTTTTGCCCGGACTCTTCTACTCCCGCCACGTTGCGGTTCACGGCCTCGGAGGCATCGTCAGCCTCGCCTCTCTCGTTCCCTACAGTTCCCCCTCTCCGGTTCCCAAGGTCAAGCCCATGGCCACTACTGATGATTCCAACCGTACGGATCTCAATCTCTATCCGGTTCCCAAGGTCGAGCCCATTGCCACTATTGATGATTCAAACCGTACGGATTTCAATCTCTCTCCGGAAATCGCACCGTCTCCGGTGACCACTGGATCTCCATCTTCGTCTCCCAATGTAAGCCAAGAGATCTCGCCGGCTTCCGTACCAGAGGACGAAATTTCTCCGGCGGCTGCGACGGCACCGGCACAATCGCCTTTAACGGCCGATTCCGTGGCGGAGAGGGCTAGGGTTTTGTTGATGGAGATCAATGCAATTCCAGATCGGGAGAAATCGAAAGCGATCTCTGACGCCGATCAGATCATGGGCGGCGAGCCTCAACCGTCGATGATGAAAGAGCAACCGGAGGTTATCAATAAGCTGGAGAAATGCGGAGCGTTGGATGAGATGGCCATCGACTGCTTCGTGCCAGACGGCGCGACGGGGTTGGATCACAGCAGCGTTCACCGCGTCGTTCGTGTTCTGACCTGAGGGAGGCTCCTCGCTCGGGCCCACCACATCCGATCGACACGTGGTAAAATCTCGACGGTCTCTGATGATCTTGTACAAAGTTTACTTGACGTACAGCTGTGATGATTTCTGAATAAAATTCACATGTCAGACAGACGTTACGCATGTACGGAATTCTAATTTTTCTGTCGAATTTTATGTTTTGTTGCGGCGATTTTCAGAAAGTGGATCAATTGATACATTGAGATTTTCGAATATTGTGCAAAAAAAACAAAGAAAGTATTGGATATGTTTGATTCATAATTTCGGTATTCATTTTGTTTTTCTGCTTATAACTAGTCATGAAATTAGTCTCGTATATATTTGTGCTTAAGTTTTACTATGCTTTAATGTACGTATATGGAGATATTTAGTCGTTAGATTCTAATAATTGGTCTTTGACTGAAAATTTAACAATATGTTGGCGTAATACCGGAGCATAGTAAATGTGATTTATGTAGTAGCTGCTTTGTTTTTCTTTTTCTTTTGGGGGTTGGAGGTGTTTTAAATCAACGCATATTTGAAATTACAGTCAAGTCAATTATCATTATTTGTTAGGAATAAGAGCTCATTCGAAAATACTTTTAAAATTACTGAAAGCGTTTTTTGTGAAAGTTTTAGATTTCTAAAAGCACTTCAAATATTTTTTTAGAATTCACTTGCATTTTTACTAATGATTGGTTTCAAAAGCACTCTCATCAAAAGCGTTTTCAATCATTTTAAAAGCACTTCCAACCGAGGCTTAAGTAAATGGTGTTAGAATTGTTGCTAACTTGCTAACATGTGCTTGTCCAATATAGAAGGATTTTGAGTAGGCTTTGCTGAAATAGAAAGACTTGAATGGCTTTGCTAGCATGTAAATTTTTAGAGTGTGAAAAGACTAAAAATACCCTCTTATAAACCCTTATGCAGCCTTCCTCAATCACAAGAAAATGAATAAACGACACAAGAAAATGGAGTACGATAATCTGGTGACCAATGTTGGCTACTGAATATTACCCTAAGTCTTGAAACCCATTTCTGAAAGCTGAAATTTTAAATGAAAACTAAAAAGTAAAAAATTCAAGGCCAAAATTTGAAAACTAAAGAAAATAGTCTTCATTTTTTATTTTTTTGAAAACCGAATATAGTTATCAAATAATATTTCAGTTTTAGTTTTCAAAAAACTAACAAAAAAGTTGGTTATCAAATCCTCATAATATGACAATGATATGAGATGTTAACCTATTACCTGAAACATTTAAGGAACTTTCAGGCATTGTAAATTAAATTAGCCTTTATTTAACCAAGTAGTGAACAAATGACAAAGAAATAGAGATGGGAATTAATTAAGGAAAACTCATGAAAGGTGCTTGAAAACTTTGAGTTTTAATGATAAAGACAAAATAAAGGATAAAGTGAATAGTACCAGGATTGACTTTTTAGTGTTAAAATGTGGTTTTTTGTTAAAATAAACAGTACCGGGAGATTTTCGTTAAAGTTCCTAATTAATTAACCACCACGAGGTGATCCAATGACTGTTGACGAATTTCAAGCCCGTATTTCATATGACACGTCCTGGGTTCGATTCCTGACGCTGGTGAATCGCATGATGGTGGTCGGGAGATGTTGAAATGCCTTTGTAAGTTTTCTCAACTCTCAAAATGATGGACTGTTGTAACGAAGCCATCAACTTCTTCTCTTTTTAAGAAAAAAAATAATTAATTAATTAATAGTGAGATGAAGAAAGGTCAAATCAACCCAAACAATACACTACATGCATGCAAACATAGGCCCAAGCAAGGCGGAGGAGGAAGAAGAGGAGGAGGAGAGCATATAGGCCGAAAGACATGGCCCAGGGTTAAAATGGTCATTTCACAACTCCTCGTGGAAGTAGAAGAAGCAATGAACAAGACATTGATTTGTCCCCTCCTAAATCCTAATCCAAGTGGGAAAACAAAACAAAACAATTAAAAAAAAAAAATCGAAATAATATTAAAATAAAAAGACCGACTTTCTTTGCGTATATAAAAGGAAACGGCAGCTTGGTTTTGTTCAATTCAAATTTTCGTTAGAGTTATTGGCAGCACTCGAAAGAAATGGCGAAATCAAAAACAACACCGGAAGCGGCAGCAGCAGGAGCAGGAAGAAGCAGCTCCAAGAGCAGAAAGAGTAGTCCAATTGGGACGACGATGATGGATCTGATGCTTCCGGATAGTTTCTCCGAGTTGGAAATGAAGGCGATTGAGCTTCTCGTACAGCTCAGCACCACCACCACCAGCGGCGGCGGATCAGCAGCATCCGTGATGTCTAATTACCACCATACCGGCAACGAAGAAATCACTAGTACTGATGCTAAAAGCAAAGCAGCTGCTGTTCGTGATGGTCATCGCGATCAGGTGTCGTTGTCGTCGTCTTCGTCGTCCAAATCCCAGAAAATTTTATTGACTGAAGATGGAGTAAGTTTGGGGTTGGGGCAGGTGAGGAAGAAAAGATTTGGATCCATTTCGGAGCTGTACGAGCTGACGGAGCCTCTTAATAATCTTAACAGGAAGAGGAAGAGGATGAGGATGAGCGGACATGCATCGTCACGTTCAAGTTGAACAACATTATTAATTTATGTCTAATTTAATTTGGAGCTTGCTTGCAACTTTGAGGTGTGAATGGCGGTGGTGGTTTTATAGTACGGGGCTTGTAACTCAGTTGATTAAGGTCGTAAATTATGTTATATAAAAAGTTGATTAAGAACATTTATATGTGTACTCTATATCGGTAAATTATGTTATATAACAAGTTGATTAGTAACATTTATCTTTGCACCCGACCGAGATCAGTGAATTATGAACATGTTTGCAGTGGAGGGTCTGAGACTCACTTTTTAAGGTTGTGGGGCTTTGGGGATGTTCTCTTGTTAAAACAATTGCGAATTACTCTTTATACGGGTTGGTTTTAATCACTTTTTAAGGCTAATTTTGCCAAAACATTTGGAAGGCCTACCTTGAAGTTATAGGTGTTGGCCAACATGACCTGATCTATGGTTCTATCTGGATATTCGGGTTAGAGCGTGTCATATAGCAAGCGGTTCGTAAATCCAGCTGGGCTGTACTAAAAGATAAACCCAAAAGGTTGCTATACAGCTGCGTAAGCAACAAGTGCAGTGGTGATATTTGAGTTGCTCCAAGCCAGAATTGAACACAGAAAATTGGGGTTTTGCCACAAAAAGAAACAGAAAAACTTCGGCGAGGGTTCTCCCGGTTAGAAACAGTTGAATCATCCCACATCGACAGTATCTTTGAAAAAACAAGAGTTTAAATATCCTAATCTCACTCCAACTAATACCGAGACCTTTTGTGATAAAACCCTGCACCTGACGGATTGTGCAGTGGTAATCACCAAGTTGGAGACAATATCGGTGTTGTTCGAAGTAAACCTTTAGCCTGTATCTCTGATAATTTGACAAAAACTAGGGTTCATGGATAAGCTGCAAAGCAGCCTGCGAGTCCAGGGTTCAACCTTGTAACTACCAAGTTAGGTCAAATCTATGTCTAGTCCTACTGAACCTCGACATACTTGACAATGGTAACACTCACCACTTGACAAAGTCTTCTTCAAAGAGTTCCGAGTCCATTTACGGTAGGACATTACGCGAGCTGGCCATAACATTCGCCGGATACCCGGCTAACTGATGAACTCACTCTCGATTGCACTGAACAAATATAACGACGAGAATAAAACACAGTAAAATTGGGGGCCGACGAAAAATGACTTAGTATGATGGTACGAACTTGTTTGTGCATAACCTTGGGAACCAACTCCAAATGACTTGTAGCCTTAGCAAAAAATATACCGACAGAGAAGACGTGCGAAAAAGTGGCTTGCACATATATAAAACCTGAAATCCTGAAATTATTTACTCACTAAGTCATGATCTAAGTTGACAGCTGATCGAGAAGACGGTTTACAGCTTCGGAAACTTAGTAAACTCCTTCAATGCTCGAGATGGAATACATATTCTGTCAAGTTCTGCAATTTACTCGCATCCAGTTTCTGCTCTGTAACAATAGGCTGCTTCTTCACGGTAAGCATTCGTGAAGCAGGGTCGACGACCCAACCTTGCTGTAGTACATCTGCATACGACAACCATATCTCAGGAGTTTGTAACATAAATGATGACGGACGGGCCTAAAGTATAAGTACGCAATTAAAGAACCAAGTCATAGCACTTATTTTTAAACTTTTAAGTTGTTATTTACGATACAACGAGTTGTCATCAAGTCCAGTCCTCGAAGACTTGGCAACTCTTTCAAGCAAAACAACTGTTTTCGAAGCAAAAATAAGTAAATGAACGGAAAAATGTAATTAATAAAGGTTCCTAAATTTCTTCTACAAGACTTTTACGTCAAAATTCTCATATACATAAGCAGGACACCTTTTCTTTTCTATTTTAATTTGCCATTTGTACACACCTTTTGTTCAGCGACTCTCAACTGGGTTTTTGATTCTTGATATCCTTTAATATTTGTAAATCTCAACAATTAACGCTCCCACTTGCTTTAAAACAGTGGAACCCTTTTTTCCAGAGACCCTACTTATTCAGGATTGATAGATTTCGAAAAGGCTCATACCTCCGAAACTGTTAAACGGTTACTTTCCCAGAGATCATTGAAGAGCAGAGATAAATCTACTACCTTTTCTGATAGGCAAGCATTAAGATTTTATTTTCATTTCTTCGAAAAGGAAACTTAACCCCGACAATTTGGTAACAGATAAGTTTGTGATAACAGAAGCTTACAAGTTGTGGCATCATCCTTGCTCATCCCCAAGAAGACAGCTGCGTCTTGGATGCTTATTGTAGAATAAGCAGACTGCAGAAGCTGAAACATTTTCTTTGTGTAAAGATCTGCAGGAAGTTCAGATGACAATTAATGATGACCTTAAGTGCATAAAACGTAACAATTAGTACTCTATAAGCTCCCTCAAACACCAGAAAATAATTAATGAAATGGTCATTTGAGTGTTGATCCCATCCATCAGCAATTATCAGAAAACCATAGAAGTTAGAGCCTGTTTAGTAACCACAAAGAAACCAACTACGTATTTAGTTATGCAAGTCATCGGCATAGACATTTTTCCTATGGATTGAACTGGACATGACATGATATATTGAACTGGGAAATAGTGTTCAGATTGCAAAAGTATTTATAGACATATTTCTCCACCGAAGAGAGAGTACATTTTTCACTTCCAATTCCTAGATCATTACAGGAACTCTATGAAGACAAAATAAACTTCATTCTGTTTGTCAGATGGCTAGCTTAGCTAAAGCATCATCCAAAAGACATAATCAAACACACTAAGGACAGAAGGAAGGTTTTATTCTTCGAAGACAGCACTTTATGCATTAAAAATGTTGCATTTTAGAGAGAACCCTACGCAAGGAAATAGAATAGGCAGCAACAACATCAATTTATAATTCCAGTTATACAAATGGCATGAAAGACTTTGACATGAAATATTGGGTAACAGGAGTTAAATAATGTTAGTGCTTTGAAAATGTAGAGAGAAGTTTGTAAATTCCCACTTTTAGCAGACAATCGCTAATGCAATGAAGAGGACATCCTCCTACTAGCACAAGGTTACCACAACAGAATCTTGATTACAACGGCATCAATATGCATAAACGTTAAAAGTAAGACAACCAATGATACTTGAAGTCAGATTATGAGCAAAGCAAAGCAAGACAGGAATACAGGATACCAAAAATTAAGATTGAAGCAGCAAAAGACTTCACAAAACTGGCAGAAATTCGGTGACTTTTCTATCTCTTGTTAAGTTGCACAATCAAACACTGACTATTGTCCTATTTATGCTCATTATACAAAATTTAGCCTCGTAAATTAGAAATCTGTAATTTAATTAACTTGTATATAAAGTTAAACTGCAATTGCTGATCACTTGTGTAAAGTCCATAGACCTCAATATGCTAAGTTACCACCTTAGAAAGGGGAATAAGTTACCCCCCTCTTGTCCTCCCCATTTCCGTTTGGAAACAAATAGGGCTTGCTATTGAATGAGATCCATCCAATCTTGAATGGGCGATTGGGAATAAATCATTAGGGCTTAATGGCCATCCAATCAAAACTAATGATCTGAATTTGCAATAAAATGCTAGCCATGCATCACCCAGGCCTCTTAAACCCACTTTTAGCAGCTATGCCCGAGCTTATTTAGTAATCAATCATCAACGATAATGCGCAAGGTTAAGCGTGGTTTACCAATCATCAATGAGACACTATCTACAACTCTTTGACCATTGAACAATATCACTCCTCTTTTGAACGCATATGTATTTTAAATTCTAAACATTATATTATCACGCACGCACAAAACATATAAAATATTGTTTTGCGATCCAGTAAAACTTGCCTGAAAAGGCTGCAACAAGACCTTGAGCTTCCTGACTCCAGTCATATCCCCGAATTGCTTCATACACACCCCCGTAATCCCTCACCCACAACTTTTGACCAATTTTCCAAGCAGCGATAACTTCCGGGTTGCTCTCTTTGACTGCAACAGGCATTGATTTCCAAAGAAACCGTGCACCATTACTGCACATCACCACCCCACAGATTAAATTCTAAATAACAGAAAACCCAGCATTGTAGAACAACAAGCTCAGAAAACCCAGCATTGTTACTCTTGAAACCATCATCAGAAAAAATATGTGGTAGATTGAACTCAAATACAACAAATTACAAAAAAAATTAAAAATCTTCAAAAACAATTTAATAGCTTCCACGAATTATCGTTTTTGTTCTACCTAAATTCATAGAGTTATAACTTATACACATATTTAAAAGGCAGAATAAAATATAAAAAAAACAAATTTAAAAAAAAAAAAAAAAACATACATATCGCCCGCGTATATGAGACCGAGAAGATGAATGGCGTAGGGCCATTCGTCCTGAAAAGCAACGCCCTCCGCTGCGACCTGTGCAATCAGAGAGAGAGAGAGAGAGAGAGAGAGAGAGAGAGAGAGAGAGAGCGCACTACGAGTGAGAATACAAACCAAAAATATTGCGGAATATAAAAATTTGGATGGTTCGGAAGCCAAATCGAACCTGAAGCATGAGTTGGTCGCAGATATCGGCGATCTTTCCATACGATTTGGAGGCTAAGGCGTCTGAAAGGGGAGAGAAATCCATGGTTGCTTGTACTCGGAAGGAGAAGGACCTCTCTGTATTTTTCGTCACTGTATCTGTATGTATCAGTATTAAACCCAGAGGGCCGGGTTGGGCCGGGCTATAACCCAAATACAAGTTTATGGGAAAATGAAATGGAGAATAAAGCGGAAATAAGAGAAAAAACAGGGATAGTGTTATGAGTAGGCAAAAGTGAGAGCGAAAACCTTTGTTAGAGGTCAAAGTGGAATGGAGGAATGTATCACACTACTTATTTTCGTAATTGTATCAAATAATGAATGCAGGTAAGAAGAGGGGAGGGAGACTGGCATTCACTTTCTACTTTTTTGATCTTGTGTGCTGTAATGGTATCCCAAATTCCAATTTGGACCGTATCAGACAATGAATGCATGTATGACATTGGATGAAATTATTTATTTTCAACAAGACTTTGGATGATATCCCAATTTGGAGAAGAAAGAGTCTACGTCTTTTGTTTTTCACTCAAACACAAGTAGATGCAGTGGCCATTTGTAATACCTTGAATATATTTAGAAAACTAATATGGATATTCATTTTATTGTTTATGTGGAGAAAAATCGAAAATAAATCGATTTATGGTTATGAAAGTTGAATGGGGGAAATGTGAAATCCCGCTTCCGAATTTTATTATCATTTATGTCGTATAATTTTTTGTTAAGTGGAAAATTATGAAAATGCCACTAGTTAGTTAAACGAAATTATGCAAAGATGTATTTTATCCTTATATGCTTCGTTGTAATTCTTGACGTATTTGGATAGAGCTCAATCCTATGAGCACATAGGCGACAACCATCTGTGAAATGGAGTTATAACGAAAGAGATTAAATGAACAAAATCAGGGGCAAAATGGTCATTTGACCATAAATCTGGAACGCTTTAGATTTGCTCAGATTTAGTGAAGAGAAGCCACGTGTGTGGCAGTGGAGAGAAAGTCTGACCAAGGGAGGGAAAAGAAAAGTAGGGGAAAGGAGGGAGGGGAGAAGGGATAACTGGCCAACCCGATTTCTCCACTCGACCCGGTTCCTTGATCCGATTCTATCTCCTCTATCTGATGTCCATTCGAGGTGGTTTCGGTGCCTATGGAAAACTCTCAGTGAGCCCAACATTCCTGTGGTGTTAGATTTCTAAATTTCTAAACCAATTTTACAATTCGAAGCCACAAAGTTCCAGTTTATCCGGTGAGTTTCCCCCTTTGCTGGTGATTCCAACAATGATTACTGTCAATCAGCACCACCAATAGACTCCCCTCAACCCAATGAGTAAGGCCTAAGCATTGGTTGAGGCGTCGGAGTTCGTTTTGGCATTGAATCAAGAGCACTTATTTCTAGGGTTCCAATGGATCGAGGTAGTTTTCAGGTATTTCTCGCCCGAATTGGACTTCAGCCCAGGTATGAAAGTTGTGCCTCTTATTGAGCTCTATTTGTCTGTAAAATTTGGTAATTTTTAGAGTTAGGAATTAAATTTCCAGCAGATCGAGGTGATTTCAGACGTCTTCCTCGCTGAATTGGACTTCGGCCCAAGTTGTTTCTCTCATTGATACCTACTTGTCTGTAAAATTTGTAATTTTTAGAGTTGGTCGGAAAATAGGGTTTCCGTTCGTCGGAAACTGCCACATGCTGCGGCGTGTGGCTAGAGGGTTGATGCTATATTTTTAATAATTTAGATATTTTGAATCCATTTTTTATATGCATTTGGTATGATTCAATTGTTTGAACCTATTTTGTGAATGTTAGTCACATGAATGATTTAGAAAATGGATTAAAAATGGATGGTGAACTACTAATGGCTTGATCCCATTCAAGAGTACATAAGCAGTTTAACAACGACGTTAGATGTAGCCACAGATTAAACCAAATAATTGTTAGTGTGGTTAATTAGAATTGTAATTAACCATTATATTTATTTTGACCTACCTTTGTGTTTGGCTTCCGAAAGAAAATTTTGGGTTGTTACACCTTTGTTGAAAAATAGATTAATCACATCTAATCTGAGAGTGCCACGTAATTATGAGCTCAAACGAAATTACCCTTGACAACGTGAGCCGATCATAATCTCGATTCTAAAGTTAAGCAGACCAACCCGTTGAAGAATGGCAAAAACTCTTCACACAACTCTTTCCAGAGAGCAAATGACCTTCAAAAGCAGAGGCTCTACTGAGTCTCAAATGGACAAGGATTGTCTGCCCTCCCATTTCTCGTGCCCTCCTATTTTGTGTGGTCATGGTTAAGTCACATCAACATTTTATATTGTTTTTTTTATAGAGATAATAAGATAAAAATGAATAGTAATATAAAATATTGACGTGGCTTAACCGTGACTAAATAAACAGAAAGGCACGAAAAGTGAGAAAACACACAATCCTTGTCAGTCTCAAATAAGGTCAAGTACCTTCATGCCCGACTCCATGTTTATTAAGTTTAGCTCTTGCATGCCTAAGCCCACGACTAGGTCAACGACCTCCAAAAGACTTATGGACTTCTTTCCCTATAAATAATCAAGGTCCAGAGAAAACTGGTAATCATAAATTTAATTTAGAACTCTCTAGTTTCTCTCAAACACTATCTTACTTGGGCATCAAAGGCACTTCAGCAAACAATATTAAGGGAAAACTCCATTAAATTGAAAGTATTAACCTTTTATTTGAAATGATCTTTCAGATTGTTTACCATTAATTATTTTGATAATTCTAATAGAAATCTCCGTTAAATTGAAAATGTTTTTGTCTAATCAACTCATCTTACACTGGTGATTTCTTCAATTTAACAAAGATTTTTCATAGGAAAAGCAAAATGATTTGACGATGGACAATCTTAAAGGCCACTTCTATCGATTTTAAATCTCAAAAACCAAAATAAAGAGTTATCACAACAATCATTTTGGCTAAAAAACCTTATTTAAGCTTATAGTTCAATTTAGTAGGCGTGAACATTTTCAAATGTTTGTGTGTTATTTTGATGACGTGTGTAATACGGCTACAATGTGTGAACCCAAAAACTCAAAACACAAAGTAGATATATATGTATTATTATATATATATATATATATATATATATATATATATAATGCGAGAGAAATCTAGGGAACAGGACGTAAATTGCATTACAAAAGGCGCTACTTTTTGCACCTCTACAGCGGTTAGCAGCTTTAATTACCCTCCAAAAACTCCAACTCATGAAAAACCCAACGCCTAAAAATCGGACAAAATCTTTGATTAGAGAACTCTTTTCCTTCCTCTTTTGCTATTAAACTCTTTACTACTTCTCCATTCACTTGGCTCTCGTGGATGAGAAATTTTCATTGTGCCGGAAGCATAATCCGATATATCAAATGCCATAATACAATTGATTGGAAGCTTAAAAAAAAATCCCAACCAATTATATTACGATATTTGATATACCAAATCGTGTTCTCGATACATTGAAAAATCTTTCGTTGTTGAGGAGGTTTTCTCTCTTTCTTTTTTTTCACCCCTCCTTTTTACTTTTTACCTCCTTTTCTTTTCTTTTTTCTTTTTTTTTTAACTTCATTTCTCTCCCAATTTGAAGAGGGAAAATTACAAGTGAAACAAAAAATAACCGACTCGAAAGTTACCGACTAGAAAGTAGTTAAGTGAGCAGGGGAGTGTCACACACTCAATCCATCAAATCCACACTGCTTGTATGAAAGAGATTGCTTCCTTGGACTTATGACAATCGCACAGTCCACCGACACCTGCATTTCCCCACCATCACCTCACACTTTTAGCCTTTAGCTCCAACCAAAATAATAGTAAACACAAAAAGGACAAGAAAAGCAAATTCAAAAAGAGAATCATAACAAATAAGTCCCAAGTCCCTCGATGCAATCAATATATTAGATCGCACTGATTTCATCGGACCATGAACGCTCGATCCCATTACATTCACAACTCAATCAACACTTAGATGCGTTAATTTCACCATATGAATACCGCGATCAATAAACAACGATACTCTACGACATCATGTGACATGGGACTTTAGACTAAGTCCAAAGTCCCCCAATGCAACCAATATTGTAGATCGCATTGAGTTCATCGGACAATGATCGCTCGATCACATAAGTTAACAACTCAATCAACACTTAGATGCGTTAAATTCACCATACGAACACCGTGATCAGTAAACAACAACGATACTTAGCGACATCATGTGATATAGGACTTTAGACTAAACATAAATAAATAAAAACGTCGTATGGACTCTCGGGTTGGTCGGAGCATAAGGGCACGTTAAGTTAAGATTTCTTCGTGCCTAAGTAGTACTAGTGATATGTAAAGGCATTTGATTCTCTCTTTGTATACCTAAGACCACGACCAAAAAACAAAAGAGAAGGGAAGAATCTATGAGGAAGGTATCCAACCTGGCATCTAATTTAAAACCCAGAAAAATCAAACTAAAAAGCAATAAAATAGCAAACCAACCACCGAAATTCCTCCAAAAAGTTATTCATTTTTTAATTCAGATAATTCTAGATTTTATATTCCACATCACCTCCCCTAGTCGTCCAAATGCAGCACATACATTTGGGCCCACCCGTATGGCCCACAGAAAGCCCTTCTCACATGGCGGGCCCCGACAGCTTTTTGGTTTTTACTCCCCCGGGATAAGGCAAATTAGTTTAGTCCTACTCAATAATCCACTCACACACATATAAACAGCCATAACATTACGAAAATGATTTTCGTACGCTCGTTTTTACACATAGTATACGTAACTGAATTACCCAAGAGAAATGCTAAACGGACTTTCTTAAAATGAAACTCTTCGTAGACTCTCTGCAAATATTTTTTACATAAAAATTAACGTTAAATTGTGAGACGGCAGATAATTTCATAAAAACTCTCGCTTTAGAGAGTCCACTTCTCATTTCTCAATGAACAAATGGCACAAATATAAAATGGGACACCGACCCAAATATCCAGGAACATGCTCTCACTCAAACCAAAAACCAAATGGCACGCCTAACTCTAAGTTCCAACCACATGGACACATTGGCAACTTTCACTTACTGATACTAACACTAACTAATAGACAATGACATTAAAGATTGAAACACAAAAGTGCATGTGATAATTAGAGATTGATATAAAAGACTAAACGAAAATTGAACTTGAGTGCAAGAAAACAAACACGTGACATGCCAACGACCTTAACTTACATTTATGCACAACGTATGGTTATAGAAGAGAATCGAACCTGGGCGCAGGAAAACAGAGACGTTAACATGACCAACTAACGTATATGCACACAATTTACGGTTAATCAAAAGTGGAAGGCTTGTTGGCATGTAGCCCTCTTACATTATAGAAAGTCGAGCTTTATCGCCATTTCTCTCTAAGCTTACCTTTTCACATATGCTTTTTCTAACAAATCCCCACCACACAATTACTTTACCAATCTAACAAAGAGGAGACGAATTCTGGAAACACCCATATCCGACCAAATTACCAAAACAAGCTCTTTCTTAAAAAAATTGCAAACAAAGTAAAATGTGATTTGGAATTTTGGACCCAACCCAAGAACATCAGAGGCGAAAGTTTAAAATTCAGAGAAATGGAAGGGCATGAATGCAAAAAACGAAAAGAATATCCGCTTCCCAACACACAAAAAAACCTATTTGGGTCTGCCAATCATAATATCATCAATTTATCAGTGACAAATTAAAAAATTGGATGCCTTTGTAAAATAAAAATTTAATAGGACCGGATAGAAAAAGCAGAGTGAGCGTGACAGACAAAAGATAGTGGGTTTTTCTGTGAGTTATGTGATTTTCTTAGTAGCCAAACAAGATTTAAGGGAAGATTGGGAACTGGGTTTTAATCTAGGAGGCAAAATTGCATTTGGGTAACGAGAAAATTTCGAGTTGAGTGAGAAATTACTGACCTGAACGCCTGGGGAATCGAAGTTCAAGACGCGGATCTTGGCGCCAACGTCACCCAGGACCCTGAGCTCGACTCGGTCGTTGAGTGAAGCGTCTCGGACTAAATCAGCGGCGTCGGCTTGGAGCAAATTGACCCGATCGACGGCGATGGTGGCGACGACTTGGCGGACAGTGTGGGCATCCTGGTAGAAGCCGGGGATGGAGGCCTTGCCCAATGGGATCCCGCGGTACATGACAGTGAACCTGGACTCGCCGTACTTGATCCCGACCTTGTTGGGGTTAGCGGCGGAGAAGAGCATGCGAATGTTGAGAGAGAGGGAGGCGGAGGTAGGGTTTTGGTTGGGGTCGGCGGTTGCGGTGGGATTGGGTGAGTTGATGCCCATGTACTGGACGCCCACTTGCTGGAGATCGAACTGCGGCTTCTTCGGCTTGAGGGCGAGGACGATGACGAGGACGACGGCGAGGATGAGGAGGGCTAGGAAGGAGAAGAGTAAGAAGAGGCAGCAGCAGCAGCCCTTGAAGGAAGCAGAGGAGGAGGATGACGACGTCGTGGGGTAGTAGTGGCGGTGGTTGCTGCTGTTGTGGGGGTTTGAAGAGGAGGAGGGCGACGGCGGTTGTCGTGGCGGTGGGGCACCGGGTCTGTGGTCGCCGTTTGCGGTTGCGTTTCCGTTTGGGATTGGGTTCCGGTTCGGGTTTGGGTTGGCTCTTGATGCCATTCTTTCGGCTGCTTACTCACACTCTCTCAACTCTCTCTCTTGTGTGAGAGTGTGTGTGGCCTCTGTTTCTTCTTTCTTCTACAGTGTTTGTTGCTTGATATTGAAGAGAGAGAGAGAGAGAGAGGAGAGAGAGAGGCGCTTTTGGTGACTTTGCTTGAGAGAGAAATCAAAGGGGCACGTAATTGCTTTGATGGTGGGGATTACTGTTGCAGGACGTACTCTGCTTTTTTGTATTTTGTTTGGGTACTATTTCATGAAAAATACTTAGCCTTTATATAATTTTGTTTTTATAATTTGTAAAACTTCGTGTTTTATATTTAAAATAAATTACATTATAAATTATTTCATAAATATTGAGAGAAAAAAAATTAATTAAAACTAAAATTGTTTAGTTATCAAATAGTATATAAACAGATGATTGAGATTTGATATCTTAAAGATATCAATCCTATATAAGTTGTCTTATATTTGAAATAGAATTGATGAAATTCTTAATTAAATATGATTATGATACTCGACTTGGAGGCTAAGAAAGTAAGTTTATGTTTCCTTTATGGATAGAAACCTAGCTTTTAGCTTATATAAACACCGGTCCATATAAGCCCTAAAACACACAACATAATACTTCTCATAGAGTAGTTGTATTCGGCTAGGTGTTTATAGAAGATCTTGGTGTTGTCGTGCCCTGCTTCTTTTCGTGTTCGACTTCCATGGGCGCTATTGGAATCAGGTCAGCCAATCCTTCGTTTGTATTTTAATTGTATAACCTTATAGGGCTAACGTTATCAACCGTATATGTATTAGCTATAATACAGTGACTTTATTTTTAATTTATTTTTGCATAGATAATCTTTACAAAATGATTCATAATATGAACAGTTCTGATTGTAAGCATAAAATTCTGTGACTCGAACACAAAATGTTTGAGTATGAGCTCTTATTCACCCGTAGATAGCCAAGTATTATTTGTATTTTATTTTACTTTATTTCATTTCCATAAAATCACATTTAATTGAAAAAAAATAGAAGCTTATTTCTTCGCTCAATAGATAATCATTGCTTCTTTTCAATGAAAGTTGTACACTTGAGGATTATTTATTGTCCACATAAAAGCATTTACTTTATAAATAAAAATTTAGAATAAATTTTTTTTTTGTAGTTCCTTGTTAACACGACACTTTAAATGTAATATTTGTGATGAAAAAGTTAATTTATTAGGCTAAGAATCGAATCTAACACTTTTCACTTACAAGTTAATTAAACCCTTGTATGAGTCCTATTAGCAATTGAAGTCCAAACCAAAACTCCTATTAGTTTTCCGTTAAACAAACCCACCTGACTATCACGTAAAAAGGTTAAATTCAACATTTCAATTCAGAGTATATCTAATATTTGATTTGGTGATTTATCCCGTGAAAATTTAGTGGACGACCTCTTTTTTCTCCTCCGTCACCTGCCGATGGTTGCTTCCTTCTGTTCTTGAAATATTGAATATTCAAATGGTGAACGTGTTTGTATTAGGAAATGAAGGTGTCGTTTTGTACTCTAATAAAAGGAAGGTGTGCTTCTTAAAAATAAAAAATAAAATAAAAAAATTGTTCCAGCAAGGAAATTTATTTTGATATCAAAAAAGAAAAAAATTCAATTACATTTAGATTAAGGAGATACAATTGCCATGGGGTCCACCGCCAAGTGATGGTGGAGAAGAAATGGGAAGTCCACTAAGTTTCTACGTTGTCCATGATCAAATCAAACGTAAGATGTAATTTAAATTGAAATAACGAATTTGACATGTTAACGTGATAATCAAGAGAGTTAGTTGGATTTGAGCTTCAATTGCTAATAGAACTCGTCACGGAATTTATTTAACAATTTTTCATCATAAGGGTTAAACATTAAAAATGTCTTATCACCACATACACCACTAAAAAAAAAAAAAATTAGCCTGTATTTTGTATTTGTTTGTGTATAAAAATACATGTTGTTCATATTACCTTGCCACAAAAGATTTTTCGATGCCAATAGCATTATACAACTCAGTGTTTATGTTCCTTGTTTAGTGAGTAGCGTGATGAAAAAGATAGATTAGTATGAATCTAAATCTAATTAATATTTTCAAAGGGTGGTACTATCCACAATTTCAATGAATCTAATTCTAATTAATATTAGTAAAATGTAAAAATGGGTATGTGAATAATATCATCAGTTTTCAAATGAGTGGTCCCTAGCAACAAGGATTTAAATTGCTTATATGAATGGAATTGTGTTTTGTTAAGTGATTTGGGTTGTTTCTTACTGAGTGATATAAAGCTTGGCATCATGTCTTGGAAGTTGTCGATGGAACTACGAAAATAACAAATATTTGAGCGTTGCACACGTGTGAATCTTTTACACGGAAATTTTATATGGTTAGAGTTCTGGATCTGCTACTGCTTTTGATGGGAGGTTTCCATTCTTTTGTAAGGTAGCCATAAGCTTCATCAGATGCACCTAAAAAGATCTAAAAATTTTCCTTTTCATGCAGAAATATTCAAGACATTGAAGTGGGATGGATTGTTACATGAATTTGTATGCTTATCCTAAATTACTATTTATTTAAATCATATTTCGTTTATATGACGTGATTATTGATGATTAAATTATTATTAAATGTTGATTAACGTGTTTAATTTTTATTAGTGACACATCGCATGTTTTGCAAATGTGATCTAAAAATGTAGTAATACTATCTCCCCTCCAAATTCTCGTCCCTTCTCGTCCCCTTCCTATTTAAACGGTTATGATTAAGTCACACCACATCTTGTGTTGACTGCTTAATAGAGAGAAAAACAAAGAGAAAAGTGAGAGAAAAAGGAAGGGTAGAAAATTCTTCCCCCTTAAAAATTGGGCTACCTGCATTACTCTAATAATAATGGAGCTCAAAACCTAAAACATGCATCTATATCGATTGAAATATGGCTCATTTGGATGTGTTTTTAAAATGGCTGAAAGTGCTTTTAGAAAAAATGTTTTTGGGTTCCAAAAGCACTTCAAGTGCTTTATGCAAGAAGCACCAGCTATGTGCTTCTTTTGGGAAACACTTTAAGTGTTTTTCTAGGATTTACTTACATTTTTACTAAGGATTGGTTCCAAAAATATTTTCACCAAAAACGTTTTTAATCATTTTAAAAGCACATCCAAACAAGCCCATAATAATCACTTGTCTTCTCACATGAAAATGATAATAATAATGATGATGATAATCACATATCAAACGAATATAGAAAAAATCCGAACTGGATACAATTTATTAAAACATAACCCTGTCCCCACACACATTGTTTTTCAAAACTGTGGTCATTAAAACCGCCATCTTCACCTATAAAATTAAGGAATGTGATATTCACATATCTTTTTTTACTTCTCACACGTTTTTTTAATTTTTGTCTATCGGATCGAATGAATTGAAGAAGATCAAGGAATAGAAATCAACAAAAGGTGTGTAAGAAATAAAAAAAAATGTGTAAATAGCACACCTCTAAATTAAATCAAGACAAAGTTGGTTTCCGCACAATTGCAATCTAGTCATAAATCCTTTTCTAATTCTCATTGGGTATTCAAATTTTCGCTTTTGAAAATGATGGAGAAGATCTGCGGGACATCTGAAGACCAAGATGACAAGGCGGATGATATTTTCGTAAAGCTAAACATGTTACAAAATATCGAATCGATGATTTACCAGAGGAATATATTCACAACATTCCGTATATCCAACTTTTCATATTGATAACTAACATTCGCGATCACTATTCCTTAGTTTCATTTCTTGTCCCATTTTGCAGGTTATCTGTTAGGGCTTGACTGTAACAACCAGCCAATCTCAGAGCATTTGCGATGAGTTGTATCCTGTAAGACCGGCTCTCGCACTGCTCTTGGACCTCAATGAGGCTAAGGGAGCTCCACCTCGATCCAAATCTGGTTAGACGATCAAATACGAGAACCAGGCTATGGGCTATGGGGTTATGTTCTTATTTGCATGGTAGCAATGTGGTGAACTTTATCCTATATGATAAAGAGTAAGTAGTTTGTAACTCAGTCGGTTAAATCAAATCTGGCTAGACGGTCAAATACGAGGACCAGGCTATGGGGTTATGTTTTTATTTGTATGGTAGCAATGTAGTGAACTTTCTCTTATATGATAAAGAGTAAGTAGTTTGTAGCTCAGTCGGTTAAATCCAAATTTGGATAGATGGTCAAATACAAGGACCAGGCTATAGGGTTATGTTCTTATTTGTATGGTAGCAATGTAGTGAACTTTATCCTATATGATAAAGAGTAAGGAGTTTGTAGCTCAATCGGTTAAATCCAAATCTGGCTAGATGGTCAAATACGAGGACCATGCTATGGGGTTATGTTCTTATTCGTATGGTAGCAATGTAGTGAACTTTATCCTATATGATAAAGAGTAAGTAGTTTGTAACTTAATCGGTTAAATCCAAATCTGGCTAGACGGTCAAATACGAGGACTAGGCTATGGGCTATGGGTTTATGTTCTTATTTGTATGGTAGCATTGTAGTGAATTTTATCCTATACGATAAAGAGTAAGTAATTTGTAGCTCAATCGGTTAAATCCAAATCTGGCTGATGGTCAAATACGAGGACCAGGCTATGGGTTTATGTTCTTATTTGTATGGTAGCAATGTAGTGAACTTTAACCTATATGATAAAGAGTAAGTAGTTTGTAACTCAGTCAGTTAAATCCAAATTTGGCTAGACGGTCAAATACGAGGACTAGGCTATGGGCTATGGGGTTATGTTCTTATTTGTATGGTAGCATTGTAGTGAATTTTATCCAATATGATAAAGAGTAAGTAGTTTGTAGCTCAATCAGTTAAATTCAAATCGGGCTAGACGGTCAAGTATGAGGACCAAGCTATGGGCTATAGGGTTATGTTCTTACTTGTTTGGTAGCAATGTAGTGAACTTTATCCTATATGAGAAAGAGTAAGTAGTTTGTAGC